TCAGAGCGGGTCTTGAGGAATATGACATGGCCAGCACAATCACCGGATTTGAACCCGATAGAATTTCTGTGGGAAGAGCTCGATCAGAATATCCGGTTGCACTGTCCAACTGAGCGGGTCTTGAGGAATATGATATGGCCAGCACAATCACCGGATTTGAACCCGATAGAATTTTTGTGGGAAGAGCTCGATCGGAATATCCGGTTGCACTGTCCAACATCGAAAGGACACCTTTGCCAACTACTACAAGAAGCATGGAAAAATTTAAAGTTAGAAATACTCGAAAAACCAATTGCCAGGATGCCCAGAATATGTCAGGCTGTCATTAGAAGTAAGGGCGGTTTTTTTGATGAGAAGGCAATTTAAAGAAAAATATCTATTTCTTCGTACAAAAAATAGTATAAGATGTAAAATATTCTACTTATAAGTATTTTGACAAATAAAACTTCCTCAATTACTTTGTAGGCGTTCAATTTTTCTTAGAAATATCCTGTTTCTCTTAATTTACGTAGTGATTCCAAACTTTTGGCCGGTAGTGTAGATGATAAACGCGTAATACGCACAGATGCAGATAAATGTGCAGCAGAAATGTCGAGTTCGTTATCGTTACTGGCTGCTCACACGTCCCGTGCAACAAGATACGATGTCACGCTGAAAATAGCTGCCGTCCTTTTTCCAAGTTGCAAGCTAAAAGCCGATATTCTTCTAAATAATCTGTGACAGTGGTTTGTCATTATCGTGAATTGCCTTTGGTTCGCGGGTAGAGCTTGGTACAGTAGATGCTCATGAAACGTGGAAGAGTATCTCGATACCGCAAAGATCTCCCTTAATAATTTGGACCGAGTGATGTATCTTAAACGATTTAGTGGTGGTCCGGTAATTATTCAAAGAGAATGTTGTCTCCCAACAGCATCCCTCCCTCGCATAATGTACGTTTCCCACGTCAAATGTTCTCTCTCCTTCTCTCTGTGGTAAATGTGTTCATTACCGTGATTATAGTTGAAGCTATTTATTGTTCTTGGAGCAATACATATGTAGATCTTGTTCGATGGTCCTGTTTGAGTTACTAAAGTGTTTGATGAAAATTACAACGATGTTCCTGTTGTCTGCGGTATTTGGAATGGAGGTAGTAGATGATGAAAATGGAGAGGGTAATGGATCCTGTTAGGGTTCGGATGGTGGGAAATTAGCAGACAAGAGAAACTTTCCCTAATGGCTCTTTCAGAGTTTATGATAAGCTTAGAATTTTTAGTTTCGAAGATTGTCCGTTATAAAATATCTGGTTGACAAATGCTACAAATTACTTTGTATCTATAAAATTATCCGCCAACGAATTATCTGTTACGTGTACAAATTAATTCGTGGCCTTTGTTTCGTGGATTTGTTATTTATTCAAAAAAACCAAAGTACAGTTCAGTCTTGGAAATAATCTCCATCACTTGCTATAAATTTATTCCATTCCTCAGGCAGTTGGCGAATTCCCTTTCGAAAAAAAGATGGCGGTTTCGAACATATGTTTTGAATTTTGAATCGGTTAGATGGTGCTGAAGTGAACGAAAGACCTTTCTCATCCCAAAGACCTTTCGCTTTAAGAGCACTTATTTTTAGGTTGAAATGCAAAAAAGATGCAGTGTCTAATATGCTGTTTATCTGACGATGTAGTGTTCTCCACTGTTTCTTAGGTTATGTCATTAGTCACATCGAGTCCGATGGTTTTTGTTTTGCTAATAGAAGCAACTTCAGAACTCTAAAGCAGCGGGAAAAAAGATCCAATTCAAAGTAAAGTTACAGCTGATTAATCGCAAGGGCCACGAATTAATTTGTACACCTAACATTATAAGGTCGTTTTCGCCATGGCAAGAATAGTTATCGATTGTCGATAATGAAGAAAGATTCAGAAATGATCGAACTACGCGAAGCAAGTGTGAGCACAAAAGGTGGGTGATAGATTATGGCAACAGAAGGAGCATTGAAGAATAATTCACGAGAAGAGGTGAATGAGAGATGTGAACAACCGCGATGAGACGAGAAGGCAACAAAGTCAAAGGAAAAGAAAAATTAATAATTAGATAGTATTAACACGTTCACTGAGGCAGCTTTTTTGAGGACTTGTTTTGAGAGACAAATAAGCCCCGTACGCCTCTTCGCTATATTTTGTTATTTTATCCTACAAAGGTTTACGCTGAAAATAGTGGAAAAATATGGAAATATCAGCTCAGCACGTAGCTAATATTTAATGAAAATCTGTATCGCAGTGAACGTGTTAGTAACAAAAATGATATAATAATAAAATCACGATATGCATTTTTGAAACTTCTTCTATTGAACTATAAACTATCTTCCACTTTTGTATAATAAACCATCAGTAGCACCTACCACTGCTATTGACGTCCTGATGTTTGTTCGAAGATATTGTGACATGGTGTCTTCTAGATCGATTTCGTCCCTCCACACTGACAACCAAAAACCTCTTCCCGGCTCTGAAACTACAAAAATAAAAATACTCTAAAAAAAGTGTTGCCTTTTATATTGATATAAAATAATTTCAAAAAACACGGAAATAGAATTGTTGTGTTGTATAATTAAATAAAAAATATATAATTCAATCAAAACTACTCTATTCTACTCTATTTTATTATTCTCAATAGGACACACCAAGCACTGAGTCCTAAAAGATCGTTGTACCCCGGCCCTAAAGCTGTCCCATATGGGATAGCTAGATATTGAGGTCCCTTGCAAGAATCGTGGAAGCCTTTTAACACGTTCGCACCTTCGTTCTGTGCGGCTCGTTTTTCATTCAACCTTCGCTACGTGCTAATTGTAAGCTGATATTTCCGTCATTCTTGCACTATTTTCACCGTAATAGGCACTAATTGGACTTTTGTAGGGTAAAATAAGAAAATATAGCGAAAAAACGAGAAATTTGTCTCGTACCGCCAAATAAGAAGGTCTAGTACGGGATACTATTAAAATGTCTACGGGACACAATCCTCAGAAAAAGCTGCCGCAGTGAACGTGTTAACCAAGACATCCCCTATTTTGGGCGAGTCCAGAGATATGGAGCTCCTAGACATTTTATATTCCTGTGACCTCCAACCTCTCAAATCGCCCAATTAAATACAGAGGAGTTTTTTCCTCCTCCCAACATCTAGGGTATAGTGGTTCGTCTTCCATACCCAGCTGTACCAGGTGTTTTCTCGTGTATCAGTGTCCTGTTACTAGCCCCACGTGTAGGCGCAGTTTGCGCTCTATCTAGGCAAGGTATCATATCGCTTAGCTTGCTAGAAGATCCCTCTAAAAGAGCCTTCGTATCTTTCACGTCTTCTGCATTAATCCAGAGCACGACGAATTTTTTCCCTATCCAATTTTTTCTAGATCCTTAATCGTAACGGTAGAAATGCCTGTGGATTAGACAGGATCGATTCGTGCCTGCTCATTGGCTTCCTTATTACCGGTGGTTCCAGAGTGACCTAGAATCCATACTAGACTCACTCGACTAACAGTGAGGATGACCTCGGGTATGCTATAGACGCAATGGTTATCCTTGTGTCTCTCATAGCTATCTCTTTACAGTCTGTCGGTGTTGGAATAGCTCTGAGGGAAAGCTAGAGCTTTTCATGTCAGGTTGGTCAGGGATGAGCTCTGGATTCAAACGCTTCCGATTGCCATGATTGGTCCTCAAGGGCGGTGGGTACCTTTCTGGATGAGTCTCCTGCCTTTTGAACTTTTGTGTCGTTGCCCGTCGTATTCTCTACTGAGCAGGTCTCAAGCGCAGCCATTTTGGTTCCCCGAGCCTTTTCCTTCGAAGCCCAACTACGCCTGAAATTTTTCTGTGCAACGGTAGCTGTGATAGTTTCGGTGGCGATTTTATCACCGCTTTCGAGTCCAATCCCTCGCTCCGGTGTGGACTTCTTGAGGGAGAGCCGTATTATTAGAAGGTAGTGGTCCCTCAAGTGAGGTCCCTATAGTCTTCCTCATTTTTGAAACTTACTTGAGTCAATCTGTTTGCGTACGTGTTTTTATTACTTAAATCGATGAATCTTCCCACGAGTATGCAATAAAGACGGTAAACTCCCGCAGAGTTTGCAAAGCTAAACACAACAGAGGGAGTGAATCACCTGGTGCCCCGAGGATATCGTTTGCGACTCAATTCTCAACCCATGAGCCATTCAGTCTTCGACGCGATAGCTTACACCTTCGCTTAGGAAGCTAGTCCACGACAGAGCTTTATTAACCCCTCAAGGTTTTTACACTTTAGAAGTCTCATATGACTCCTGTTAACCAGTCTTCCATGCTACTTACTCATCGTCACCGCCTCAGATACCTACTGACATTCAGGATAGTGCTAACATAAGGAGCTGCTGTTCCGTTTGGCAATTTTCCTATCCGTCATCTGGAGATGTGCCGAGTTAAGGATCATTCTATACCGACGCGAATCGATCTACTCCTCCGCTTCGTATTATGGAGACGTTCGAGTAAATCAAAATTATCCAACATTTAGAATGAAGACTATTGGTATTTCAAAGTTATCCCGCTTATAATTTACGTCATAATTGTAGGAACCGAGGGAAAAATTTAGAGAGACCCAACGAGAATCGAACCCACGACCTCGGGGCTGGGAAGCCGAGACTTTGCGCACTACGCCAACAACTCCCTTTGCATTTTTTCTTGTCGGTTTCCCTTTTTGGGTATGGAGGTGCTACATAATTATGCACGTTTTAGACGTAAATAATTTGGTATATCTACTTTAGATCTTCAGTTTTTGCCGGTATTTACAAGTGAGAGCACTGATACGAGCGAAATTTACGTAGTGCAAACTTAAAGACTGCAACAGTATTTGTGCATTTCTGTGAACGCTCAGTGACCGAAGCATTCGCGGTGCGTGTGTCTACATAGCGGACATTCATATCGCATGTTTTATGGATTTTTGCTGGTCACACGCAGCCAGAACAATCGCAACGTGTGCGCGCGCGTGTGATATCAGTGGGAAAGATTTTAGCGGAAAAGGCATTCACCCTCTCTACTCGAAAGATTCCATTGAGCGGATATCGACATGCCCTTGTGGATTTTTGCGAGTGGTAGGTTTAATGTCGTTCTTTGGATTTTCATTGTAAACTATTCGCAAAATTGTGTCAACCTCTGTGACAGTGTCTACTACCAGATTAACGTGTTTTTCTTCTCTTGGTACGGCACTGACCTACGTTACTGCTTGGCTCAAACCAACGTATGACAATTGTCCTACTTCAGGCGCAGACTTAATTGTTAATAACTAAAAACGAGCCCCAAACGTAATTTTGTTATCTCGATTTCCGTCTTATTTTCACTTGTAGAATCACTCCTTGAGTTTTCTACCAACTATTGCCGACACACTGTATATCGAATACTTTTTTAAATTTCATATTTTATTTTGTGTTTCTGAGTATGAATAACTACGCATATGGAAGTTGAAATTACGTCAAAGCTTGTAAAATATAAATAAATTACACGTACAATTTTTTTTTTTATGGATTTTGTTCAATTTTGTGACGTTTCATCTACCAACAACGTGTTTTCTAATAAAACTTGTTTGTGTTAGTTACTAACTTTCGTACTTTTAAAAATCTGCACCATTCCTAGAATATTGTAATTGCAAAAATTTATCATTATTTTTCTACTTTATCGTTCTCATCAATTATTATACGCATACCTCAAGTCGAAGTAAAACATTGGATACGATACATTACTTTTAACAAAAAATTAATACATATGGATTCTTAAATAATAATATGTTCTGTAATTCTGAATTAGTAAAAGGAAACAGTATTTACAAATATTTCAAAGAAAATTTGTTTGCCACTTTCAAATGCAAATACATACACGGTTCCGTCACTGTCAAATACAGATCGATGTTACCATAGAACGCAATAAGAAGCAGCAACGGAGAAAGATGAAGTTTGCAGTTGCCAAAAACCTTATGTCGTTGACACATTCGAGTTTTCATAAATAATTCAATGACTGCGTATCGTGAATTATTCGTGATTGATAATCTTCGTTTCCTTTATCGTTTCGTTCATGAAATAAAGTCATTTTAGCAATTCCTTTTTGCTTCTGTTATCGAATGTTACGCTTTACACCATTAATCTGAAATTTTCTCTCACTTTTATATAATTTTATAATTTTTTATAATGGCACATTCTTGTTAAAAAAATGGGAAATAGTTATTTTCAATCTCTTTGTGTGTATAAGGGTATAATTTATAAGCTTAACTTTTTAATTTTCCGTATTTACAAATAAATTTAATTTTAACGTTCAATTTAATACTAACTTCAATAACTGTATTTTACAGTAAATATTCTATTGTCATTAATTAATGAATCGACTTGTTCAACGTCGAAAAGTTTGTCGAGTACCTCTCGCTTTTCCTGCAAAATAACACGCACACGATAATCAGTAATATACAGGGTGAGTCGCGTAATTGTGACGGGTTATATCTCGAGTTTGGTTAGCGATAGAAAAAAGTTGTAGAGGAAGAAGTTGCAAATCTTTCTATAGCATTCAACTTTTTCCTCTGCAACTTTCTTCTATCTCTAACCAAACTCGAGATACGCACATGTAACCCGTCCCAATTGCGTGACTCACCCGGTATATGAGCAGCACCCGATCGTTCAGTTGCTATTTGCACAATTGGAGAAACACCACCTGTTTCCCCAGTAACCAATTAATTCTAGTATATGCTATAAATATTTGCTTTGTTTCGCGACGGAGGTCTGGGGTAAGTGTCGTGCTGTTTGTCACCGTCGTCTTACCAAAC